AAAATCGTTCAGGTAACCAGCACCATAACTATCCAATATTGACATTATTTGTTCAACAAAGAAATCTGGTCAATTAATCAGTCTTTTTTATGTAAGGTGAGCAAGTACAATTCAGTATGAATGCACAGCCGTTTAGTTTACTCCCTTAGTCAATCAAAATTTACCTTGATTTTGTTATCAATACAAAAAATCACCATAGACTCTGATAATATATAGATGTAAACTATAGATTGATTGAGATTCGATTCATGTCATTTGACAGTGTGATAACTTTAAAAAAGGAAGAAAATTGGTGAAAACAAGTAAAAGTTATGCAATTGAGGGAATTTAGTGTTTTAAATTCCCATGTAGGCTGTTTTTGTTTGCGATCCACTCGCTTTTCATTGTGGGAGCCCTAAGAGAAGAGAAAGAAGAATATTGTCTGGCGAATTGCTATACGGATCTAAACCACAGTCTCTCCACTCAGATACCGTTATTTACGACACAGTAACAGGTCAAAATTTCTCGCGGGTTCCTTCCGAACCCATTCAGAGGGACCGATGCAGGTATACATGCCATTATTCTCATTGTTACCACATTCCCACCGTCATCTTGATGCATCTTCGGAGACATAAACAATACTTACCGCGGCGATGCTCATGTGCGTACACATGCCGGTCAATGTGGTGACCCAAAGCGACACAGAGGACACCAAACCTCCTCGTCGTTATGGTTTCCTGATTGTCATTTAGGAGCAAGCAATCAGGGACAACGAGATAAACTGTGGCCTAATCAACAATACTTTACAAGCCCGAATGTGAACACTGATTGGATCGTATGTGCAAAACCACTGATCTTCCTTTGTACCCATTGAAAATGTTGTCTAATCTCTCCTAGAGATCGTCTTCCTCGACGTCACTTTGTACAATTCCGATGACGGATGAGAAACACTGTTGTGATCGCCAAAGTGCCAATAAAATAGTCATTTCGCATCATTTTCGTTTTTACTTTGATTTATTGAATATAAAAAGGTACTGCCATACAACACATGATGGGAAAAGTCGGGTGGTGGTGGTGGGACTCGAACATACGTCCGCCGGAATGATTATTTGGTGATGCTACCACCGAACCAGCTTCGCCAGATGGAAAGTGAATCGTGAATGACTTTCACCCAAGGTGGTAGGGTACCGGCAGGCGAGGAGCAGTTCAAAACGTAATGAAGTACCGGTTTGCTGTTCAAGCAATGGTCTCTCTAAACAGCTAGAGCACATTTTTCCATTCTGGGTAAATCAAATGAATGGACAGCCACTTACATCATTTTATTCGAATACGTTGGCCGGTTGATCTGATGGCAAGCGCCCACTCCCACTCCCCAGTGGGATAACGAATAACTATCCGTTTCATGCCTCCTGTAGTGGTGTTTATGTAGGACGTGAAATTAGGAATACTGGCTCATCAGTTATAAGCTAATTCAATTGATTTGATTTGAGAAGAAAGGATAAGATCTGTTTGATGCAGTAACTGGTCTACTCTTTTGACAGTAGTCCCAGATTCCCTGATCGACCGTCTGTCTTCGTAGGTGTTGCCATTAGTGCGCAATCAGTTATTGCTCGATATTTCCTCGCTGACTCATGAATGTGAAAAACAAATTGGAGTGTGTGTGGATTGTTTAAAACTACGAACGGGATCGAAGAAGAACCGTTCTCAGAAATAAATCATTTATTGGAAGAATGAATAAAATAATGCAGTATTGATCTTTTGAAAATGTCATTAGGAATGAAAAGGTGACTGGAATAGGTGATGGGACCACCAGCTCTCCCTATTTGTGAAAGCTGTCAATTTTTATGACCTTGGCAATGGATATGGAATAGGTTTGCGCCGGAAGTTATTGACTGATGATAAATCATTCATTTCAAGGTCATCGTCGCAGTCTCTGGAACTGAGGTCGAAGTAAATCGTGGACTCGTGTGAGAGGACAAAAGAGTAGAGTAAGGAATAGAGAATGTAAAGCAATTTGTGAGTTTGCTTTGCTCAGTAACTGTATCAAAGTGATTCATAGAACCAACGTGTTCGTAATTCATGACACCCTAAACATGAAAACTCAACTCCCCGCACATTTAGTGATATTCCGCACAAAACTTCCAAATGAAATTTCACGAGTAATGATAGCTTTCACAAACCACCCACTGAACATGCCTGCGAATAACGGTACATTGAACTGTTCGATGACTGTTGCTGATCATCCAAACAGAAGTTAAGCATAAACGATGGCAACTAGTTAATTTTGTGACGGGTAAGGTCGAATGTTTTGTGCTTTATCAAAGAGAAATATTTTCTCAGCTTTCATCAACTGATCACTTTATTAGTATTCCTTCTGGTGTTCTGGCAGCGACTACGGTTTAATAACTGAAACTTAAATTTACCGATCTTCAAAATCGACCACTATTCAGTTTTGTTTTGACTGATATTTTCTTGCATTCTTCGAAAATATAAGATCTTATAAAAACTGACATCTGATGCGTATTTGCAAATGCTATCTAGGACTTTCGAGTATGAAAATAATGCACTGTTTCTCTATCATCAATCACGGAATTAAGTCAGCCTACTGATTTAGCTATCGTGGCTTTGGGGAAAACTGGAATGATCGGTTTCAAAGAATACGCGGTGATTTGATAGGTAATTTCGTTATGCATCACGGTGCTGCATGTAACGTATCAACTGAGCTGTGCGCAGGCCTTCGTCTTTGACATGGTGTTGTACCACCAACTTGGCAGCCAGTTCTCACCCGATCAGATCGAAATTACAGACTCGAGATTTTTCTGATATCGTCCACGTTGTTCTCGGTAGTGTGTATGCATGATAATTTTTCACATGATACTAAAAGGGTTACTTCAACGGAGATTAGCGTAACATCTGGGATGATGTGAATTAAGAACACAGTTCACGAATCAGCCCTGAACGAAATGTATAGTAAAATAGTCTACATGATATATTTGTATATTTTCGTCACAATAACCTCATTTTTAACACCGGGTAGATTTATTCGGACAACTCTTTCAGAATCAGTGCTCTGATGAATGGATACTATGATTCGATATGCCTCCAAGGAAAATTTGTCCAGTCATTCATATACTACTTATTGTAATATATATATATATATATATATATATATATACGATATGTATG